CAACGTTCTATATTATTTCCGCAGTGTCTTGCGTGTTGGTGGCATGTACTCCGCAGAGCGTGTTGCAGAACAATCTGAACTCTTTCTTCTCGACAAGACTAAACGGAAGTGCGTTGGATAAAATCAGGACTATGAATTTGGAGTCAGTAACTGCTTTGTCAAACATACGCTGCCTGACATACCACTCGAATCTGAAGTTAAGTAAATCCGTCTGTCGGGCACCGTTCGTACCCTCCACAGCTTCGTCATCCCTTCCATATACCTCGTTGTGCCATATCTGTAAGTGCCGTCAAAATGTGGTTTGAGCGCAGCTGTTTCAACCTGGAGCGGTGTCGGCAAGGCATACAGACACGTGAGCGTGCCGTCCGCGTTTGAGTAAATGTAGGTCCATATATCTGAGCATCTCAGATTGTTAGTGTGCCTTATACTACTTGACCCGGTATTTGTGATTGACTCGACCTGACTCTCCATTGCTAATAGTGGAAACTGCGGATGAAGTGAATTAGGAAATGAGCTGGATCGCAGCGGTGCCCTGTGCAGACCACACAGCGCAGGTGGCGCCGATTAACAGAAAAATGAAGTATGACGCACCAACTACACATCTGATCGGATCGAATCCGATCTAATCGGATCAGATCGATATCTTGTTCAACCACAACACACATATTTGGCAGTGTAGCCGGGCAGGGTGCAGTGTTGAATGCCTCGCATCGCCTTTTGTCTTCTCCATGAGGTTGTCTGGCGCTTGTAGTTAGCGTGAAGTCTCTCCAGGACCAATTACTAAGTGAACTGCATGTCGCAGCCAAAACCTTTTACATTTAATGAAAATTCATGTCGAATAATTTATTTAAAATTGAAGGTACTGTAGCTTAATTGGTTAAAAGACAAGCAAGCGCCTACTAATCTAAGTCTTTACACCCTAATACCTCTTTATAGAAATCCGTCATTGATCTGTTCCAATACGCTTTTCTGTAGAAATTTATATCAACCAAGTCGGATTCGATCTGCCGATCAATCGGGTTCTATCGAAACAGATCGAAAATCGGATTGAGCCAATTGGATTCTTCAGAAAACATATCTCAATTGATCGGATTGTGTGTACTAGTCCCCACGAGAAAACATGACATGATTACGTTATCGTATTTTGATTTTTTAATCCGTAGTATACATTGGAATATATGGCTGACCAATAGCATTTTTGACTTATTACTACAATAGATAAATTATCCTGATTATGGTTACATTTTCATTGATTATGGTATAAACTACTGCGGAATTATTTTACATATTGGTAACGTATTGGAAGGTTATTTTTTTATAATGTACCAAAACACAATTTGTTATATTGATATTGTTTTTCCTTCTGGTCCATAATTTAATGGATTGTTTTTAATAGACGTATGGTATACATACTAAAAACATTGGTAACCACTGTGAATATTCTGCGGACCTTCCTTTAGCAACGCTCGGCGTGTCTTGTACAGCTAACAGGGTGCAGAGATCTTATGCTGGTGTACGTCAATGGAAGTATAGCAATGGGATAAAAACCAGAGCTTCCCTGTGCTAGCACGGCTTTATTTACAATTACAACGATGCCTGCGTCAGGAACGCTAGTCATTGAATAAAATCCGAAAAAAAAAGCACACATCAATGTAAATGTGCGGTGTCCACATGTGGTGTGCAGCCACTGCATTTATTAGTAGTGTGTTGAAGTAACACAAAGGATACTGTCGCACGATTGTCTTATGGTATTCAGACATTAGTATCATTAAACATAAATAATGTGCTACCCATTGTTAGCCGTCATGGGTCCTTGATCAATATTATAGAGACTGTCATGATGAACTGAAGGGATCAGCGCCACAGATGCACAGATCTCATCGAATATTAAAGGATATATGGAGGTAGTGGATGCGGCTAATGCGGGGGAGCTCTGTATGGTGCTGTTCTGTAGTTGTGATGAGTTTACGACGTTCTCCCCAGAATAATCTGTATTCATCACTGAAACACGTCAACGGGGTTCTGTAGGTCATCTTGTCGTTGTCTGATGAGACAGGTTACACCAATCATGCGGTCCTGGTGTGGTAGAATCGCATGACTATTGCAAAGTGGCTAACATCTTTTTCGCAACTATTGCATAGTGGCATAGTTTGCCATCCTGTGTTGTTCACTAACATTAAGGGGTTCTACGACCGACGGGAACAC